CTGGCGCGGACTGGCGGCTGCTGCAGCTTGACGAATCCTTCGCTGCTGCTGCTGCTGCTGGAGGGGAGCCACGGTGCTGCTGCTGCTGCTGTGCCCGGCAGCAGAGCCAGCAGCAGCAGCAACAGCAAAGCGAAGAGGAGGCCCCGCCTCGGGGAGGTCCAGAGGCTGCTGCTGCTGCAGCACGAGTGGCGCCGCGCCAAAATTGTAGCTGACTACCGCCGCATGCAAGCAGCAGCAGGTTTCGGGTGTACGTACACCGCAAGAGGGGTTCGGAGGGACGCAGCTCTTGCTGCTGCGGCAGCTGCAGCAGTCGCTTCTGAGCCTGCTGCAAGGCCCGCTGCTGCAGTCGCTGCTGCAGTGCCTGCTGCAGCGGCAGCTGCTGCGGTGCCTGCTGCTGCAGCAGCTGCTGCAGTGCCTGCTGCTGCAGCAGCTGCTGCAGTGCCTGCTGCTGCAGCAGCCTACACAGTGAACAAAGCTGCAGCGAAAGCTCGCCGGGGCTGACGCGCAGAATTGGCCGCAGCCCCTTCGGCAGCGCAGGGAACCTCCTTCGGGAGCAGCAGCAGCTTCTGCTGCTGCTGCTGCTGCTGCAGCAGCTGCAGCAGCTGCAGCAGCCGCACAAGAGTTATAGTTGTCTTTAGTTGCGCGTAATGTCCGTCGTGGCGACTTTTTTATTGTGCTTGGGCTGCTGCAGCGGCAGTCGCTGCTGCTGCTGCAGCTGTAGCAGCAGGAGCAGCAGGAGCTCGAGCATCCACCCGCCGGGCGAATGCGTGAATTTCTTGTCAGTAGTTTGCGATTTGTTTTAACTTTGTTGTTTAATTTCTTTTTTTCTTTTTAAATCAAAAAAGAATTTAAAAAATAAGGAAACAAAGACAGCCCCAGAGAGCCCATCACAACAACCCCACTCCCCGGGGCTGCTGCGGCCGCGGGGTTTCGGGGGCGGCGGCGGGCGAGGGTTTAGGGTTTAGGGTTTAGGGTTTAGACCAGCCTTTTAGGAGCTTAGAGCCGGCAGCAAGCAGCAGCAACGCAGCCAGCAACAATCACAAGCCTGCAGCAGCTCTGGGTACTCCTGCTGCGCTGCAACAGACTCTACATCTCTGTAAACCCTTGACTTCTTTTTTGAAACCCTAAACCCTCGTCCTTCGCTAAGGAAGGCCATTTTTCACTTCGAGGGTTCCCCTGTATAGACCCTAAACCCTAAACCCTAGACCCTCGGGCGCAAACCCTCGTTTTCGATCGGGCGCAAACCCTCGTTTTCGATGTGCGCTCATCGGAGGAAGACGCGCCCCCACTGAGCGCTTAGCTGCTGCTGCTGCTGCTGCTGATACTGCAGCAGCAGCAGCAGCAGCAGATTCAGTGGCAACTCAGCAGCTACTTCTGCAGGGCTGCCAGCAACAGCTGCTGCGCATTGCCTGGACGAGCTGCTGCTGAAGCAACCCGTTAAGCAGCAGCAGCAGCAGCAGCAGCATGGGAAGGCCACGGAACTCGGGTGCAGCAGCTGCTGCAGCGAAGCATGTAGCAGCAGCAGGCCGTCAGAAATCGCTGCTGTCCAGCTGCAGCAGCAGAAGGACTAGTTGTTACTCAAGCAGCGAAGAGCGCGTTAGCAGCAAAGGCAGCAGCAAGAGCAGCAGCAGCAACTTGAATCGGCCGCAGGGTCTTTTTGCAGTTAAGAAGGAGCCGTCGGTGCAGCAGCAGCAGCAGCAGCGGCAGCAGCAGCAGCAGCAGCGGCAGCAGCAGCAGCAGCAAGTGAGGAGACGTGGGCGGCCTGCTGCTGCTTCCTCCTCTGCTGCAGAGCCAGTAGAAGCACTTTCGGCAGCAGCAGCACCAGCAGCAGCAGCCGCAGAATCCCTGCCGCCTTGGCTGCAGCTGATGCTGGGCACATTCAAGCTGTACATACACCGCAGCATATCCCTTGCTGCTGCTCTGCAGCGGCTCTCGGGGGTGCTGCAGCAAGCAGCTGCTGCTGGAGCTCCTGCGAACTGTAGCAGCAGCAGCAGCTGCAGCAGCAGCAGGGAGCCTGATGCAGCGCAGCTAGCAGAATGCGTGGCCCGGCTTTGCCTCCGCCTGGCTTTGCTGCTGCCGCGGCTGCCGCAGCGGGAGGCGCAGCGAGTTGCTGCGCTGCCGCTGCAGCTGCTGCTGCGGGCCGACGAGCTTGCTGCTGCTGCTGCTGCTGAAGATGGGGAGCCAGTGGCTGGCGAAGCAGATGAGAACAGGAACTCGCAGCAGCAGCAGCAGGTGCTGCTGCAGCAGCAGCAGCTGCAAGAGAAGGAGATGGGCAGAAGCCCACAGCAAGAGTACCCGCTGCTGCACGTACGCACTCGTGTTGTTGCTGCTGCTGCCATTGGCAGTGTTGCTGCTGCGGACTTAGCACCAGCTGCTGCTGCTGCTGCTGCTGCTACAGGGTCTCTGGAGGCGTTTGCTGCCGCTGCTGATGGCGAAGCAGCGGCCGGTGCGGCTAGGAACCGCCTGCTTGCTGCTGCAGCTGCTGCAGCTGCTGCAGCAGCAAGCTGCGGGGTGTCGATACACCCCACACTCCCTGCTGCAGCAGCACCTGCAGCAGTGCCTCGCTTTCATGCAGCAGGGAAGAGACCCGCAGCAGCGGAGGCTGGCGCTGCTGCTGCTTGACAGCTACCAGAATGTAAACCCTAAACCCTAAACCCTAAACCCTCGCTTTGTCTCCAGCTGCTCTCCGCTTACTCTGATGAGTGTAGGAGACCTCTTATTAACGGTTTAGAGGCAGTGCTTTGGGTTTAGGGTTTAGGGTTTAGGGTTTAGAATTTGGGGTTTAGGGTTTAGGGTTTAGGGTTTAGGGTTTGCTGCAGGACGCAGCAGTGAAAACTGCCTTCATCCAGGCCCTCACGGACGAGGCCCCAGCTGTGAGGCGCGCTGCAGTGCGGCGGCTGCTGCTGCCGCAGCTGGACCTGCAGCAGCAGCAGCAGCAGCAGCAGCAGCAGCAGCCAGTGGAGGCGCAACAGGAGAAGCAGCAGCCAGAGAAGCGTGAGCAGCACGAAGCGGAGGAACCACAATTGCAGCAACAAGTGCAGAAGCAGCTAGAACTGCAGCAGCAGCAGCAGCAGCAGCAAACCGAGGAGAATGAAGCAGCAATAAATGAGCTGCTGACGAGGGCCTTTGACGCCGCAGCTGAAGTCCGAGCAGCACTTTACAGAAAGCTCTCAACGTAATCCCAATCCCTAAACCCTAAACCATAAACCCTAAACCCTAATTTTGCACTTCAAATGGAGACCCAAATCCCTTCACACTCAGCAACACCCGTCACATTTCTCGGCTCTGTTTGTAGGCAGCTGTAGCCAACCACTTAGGGTTTAGGGTTTAGGGTTTAGGGTTTAGGGTTTAGGGTGTAGGGTTTAGGGTTTAGGGTTTGAGTGGCAGGGTTGAGGGTTTGCTGACGCCCCAAAAAAGGACTGAGCTGGTGATGGTGGGTTTAAATGACAGAACTGCTTCAGTGAGGGATAGTTGTTTGAAGATGCTGCGGGCTTGGGTGCAGCAGCGGGACCTGCTGCTGCAGCGCCAGCAGCAGCAGCAGCAGCAGCAGCAGCAGCAGCAGCAGCAGCAGCAGCAGCAGCAGCAGCAGGTCAAGCAAGAGGAGCAGGTGCAGCAGCAGCAGGAGCAGCTCGAAAAGCCGCAGGAGCTTCAAGGGCCGCCAGAGGAGGCGCAGCAGCGAGTGCAGCAGAACGAGCAACACGAGCAGCAGCAGCAGCAGCAGCTTGAGCAGCAGCAATTTACTGCTGCATGCGGAGGCCTCGTGGCCTTTATTGAGGACTTGGGCGAATGCCTTCCTGCAACAGAGGGGGCCATCGAGTTGGCAGTCAAGGAGCTCCTCCTCGCTTACCCAAACGAGGGTACTGCTGCTGCTGCTGCTGCTGCTGTTGCTGCTGCTGCTGCTGTTGCTGCTTTTGTCGCTGCTGGTGTTGCTGCTGCTGCTGCTGCTACTGCTGCTGTAAGACGCATTTTCCACCTGAATCCTCGAGCCTGCAAGTCAAATCTCCTCCAAAAAATATGCTGCTGCTGCCTGCTACTCCTGCT